ACCAGGTGTAGGGTCGGCTCCCCGAGGGGGCCGACGGCATCCCCGAGGGAGCCGAAATCCCCTGGGCACTTGCAGGCGTCAGGTCCTGGGCCGAGGCCAGGGGTACCGAGGCCTGAGGCGATGCAGTCGGTACAGATGCTGGACACGCAAGGAATGAGCGGTAGTGTCCTGTCTGGGGCCTGGGCCCCAAGTGTAGAATCCCTGCCACCAAGGTATAGGAGGTCCACGTGACGGCATGCCCCGTGCCAAAGACAGGAAAACTAATTCTTTGCATGGCCTTAACTGGCACTCTGATCGGATTTTTGCCTCGGAGACTAGCATAGCGGGCAAGACACACAAGCAGACACGGGGGCGCACCCACGAGACCGTGCGGTATCATCGCACGACACACTGTTGAAGAGTCATGTGAGCTTGCCTTGGGAGGGGTATGTCTACATGGGTGGTGCCCGAGATGAGTGGCCTGCGCGATTCGACGGTACCAGGTAGCGGCCGTGCCTCCCATCTGCATGCAAGGAACTCAAGCGGATGCTTAGTGAGCAGATGATGCATGAGCTCCATACAATCCTGCTGCTGGTGCAAGTGTGGCCATTCTCTGAGCAGCGAACGCCAATCAGACAGAGCCGAGAGCACCAAGCCATCGGCGGAGGTTGTTCGTGGCAGTCTGTGGAGAGCAGAAAACAGTGCATGTGCGAGTGGATTGGCTCCCGCAGGGGGGCCATCAAGTGAGCACAAAGCACACGCGTACGACAGCAGGTAAAAAGCAGCGTTTAGATAGCAATGATTTCCAGGGCTATGCAAAACAAGCGAAGTTAGGGACCACGGCGACACGGGCTGATGCTGCTCACTGGGGCCCGGACAGTCTACCATCCGACCGCCTCCGAGATCTCTTTGATCAGCGGCGACCGCTCGGGACGGGCCGGCTTGAGACGAAGTGACAAGAGTAGTAGAGCTGAGGACGCGTACCATTTCCGGAAGATAGCCATCGCCTCTGCTGCATCCTGATGCTGTAAGGAGAGCTCCAGTACGAAGTTCGCTGTTTCCGATACCGAGTCCGGCTGAGCGTTCCGGGCTGCCGAAAAGCGGAGGATCAACTCTGGCGATTTCAGGATGTCTTTCAGGCGACGCGCGTCTGCGAGCATCTGGTCCTGCGTAAGTGTCCCCTCCTGCCTCGGAATGAGCTTCTTCTCCTCGGTATCCCAATCCAGAAAGTTGTACTCCAAGTCGCTCGTCACCCACCCCATCTCCTGCGCCTTGGCCTGAGCTTCCTTGTCGCTCCCGAAGGTGGTGACTCTGGTGATAATCTCCGCTACCAAGTACTGAAGCAGCACCTGCTTGAGGGATTTCGTCACCTGGCCGCGACTGCGCTGTTCCCGCCAGTTGGTAGC